CTTCGTCCTCCTCCTCCTGGGATTCACCTCCATTTCCTGCGCCCCCTCCCATGGTGAATGGAAAGATGTTTCCTAAGGTGTTCCTCATTCTTTCTGAGAACGATGATGACGTTGTTTGTTTCTCAGTTCCGCCTGCATCATAGTGTTGTCTGTTGGAGATCTTCTAGTTGCCGCTATTTCAGTTGAGATGTCGGACAGTTCCGACATCTCCTCTCGATCCAATGTCCCGGTGGAAGTGGCAAAATCATGGCCTTGTTCCACCGGAGTAGATTCACTCGCCAGACTTCCTGGTTGTCGTTCATGGCATGGTCCGTATTGACCTCCACTTCTAACGGTTTTTTTCGCTCTTCTGAGGTCTTCCGACTCCTTGTTTCAACCATTCTGCCTGAAACCGTCTCCCCTTTGTCGGTCCGGGCTCGTTTGATCCAATCCACAAAAGGATCGGTCATTGTTCTTCTTTGCTTTTTAGGTATGAATTTCCTAGAGCTATTACCCCGTTTAGGTCTCCTTGACTTGTCTAGACACATTCTCAATTTGTCACTTATTAATGCATATACACTTAATTCGATTGCTAGTAACCTTATATTTTGACTATCAATAATAATGACACAACACAATAAATTTCACAAGATTCTATTAAATAGTGACCACGAATCCCTGTATGTTATCAGAGTACAGTTTGTATATAATTTATTCACACTAACCGATTATCGTTCGTAAGATTTGAGAACTAGCACAATATGTTGTTATCAGTCAATTTAAAAGATAGTGTACTCACTACCCAATCAAGCACAAATTATGTTGATTTAAAATCAAAAACAAAAAAATATATATAATGACAGAATATGAATATCTCTATAAAAAAACGTATGTGTATTGTACTTTTAGTTGGTCGCAGTACAATAGTCGAACTTATATTTTAAAGAAAAAGCTTTCCCTGCTCGGTGCTGCACCAAACAGACAAAACTTTGAAGGCAGTAATTTTCTCAAGTGCGCGTCTATTGCACCCACCGAGTACTGTGTTACCTATCTGCCTTCGGACTGCCCGAACTAGACCTACTACAATCCTCAGGGCAGTCACTTTTCACAAAAACGTTTTGGGTTTCAATCCACACCAATGAATTACGCTCTTTTTAGTTTAGACTTAGTGTCGCGAATATCCGAGTTCGGACCTGTTTTGTTTTGGTCTGGTCTTTAATGAAAGGCAAGTTACCAGTGCAGTCACTGATTCCTAGCCTGTCTGCTAATAACCTTATACCTTTCACTTTAGTTTTTCTTCCGTTTACCTAAGTCCTTTAATAAAATAATACCCCTCCGGATTGGCAAAAATAAGACCCTTCCGGACTAGCAAAATTTAGACCCCTCCAGATTGGGACCCCTCTGAGTTAGTAAATATAAGACCCCTCCGGATTTGGACCCCTCTGAAATAGTGAATATAAGACCCCTCCGGATTTGGACCCCTCCGGTTTTGTGAAAACATGACCCTTCCGGATTGGGACCCCTCCGAATTTGAATTTTTTTTTTTTTTTGTAAAAGTAGCTTTTCGGAGATTTCCTTCTTTCAACCTATACCCCTCCGGATACGTTCTTCGATGCTATTATGCTTTTTAAATTAACTAGGAAGGGTATGTGATCCTTTCCTAGACCCTTCCGGATTGAAGTTAAGCCCCTTATTTGACAATTCACGCTAACGGTGAAGGGTCTTATCGCTAGCCTAACTTCGGCTCGATTAAGGTTTTCGTGTGCCTTTAGCCTTCCCTTTTCGTCTAGAACAGCCTAAAGTTACTCTATTCAACCGCTGTTACCTTTTGGGAGGGGTGTAAGGGCTTTCCTAAAAAAAAATTTACAAAACGTGAAGGGTCTCCCTCCCAAATTGGTGAATTTGCTAAAAACAATCTCAAAAACTTTTCACGCTTTCTTTTTCGAAAAACTTTTGTCCCTATCAGTAAGCTCAGCTAATTTCTGATCTATTGGTACCAAGATCAATTGGATATGCCCAGTAGTTCCAAAGTTATTAACCAAAACATCTTTTTTCTAAAGTCAAGAAATTTTTCTCTTATAGGTTCCGCCTAACTTTTTCCACAATTCTGTTCTTTTCGACCTGAAAATTATTGGTCCGAGCTCAGAAGGCCTATACTTTTCTAGTTCAATGCAAAAGACCTGATCTAAAACGCTTTAGTTGAAAAATTTTGCGAAAAACTATGCTACCTATACCCCTCCGGGTTGATGAATCCACCAAATCAAACACGTTAAGTTCGATTTCTCTGCAACCCGGAAGGCTTTCGGGTAGCGGGTTTTAAAACTCGTAGATTCACTAGTGGAAGTTGTCCGAACAACTATTTTTACTGTTCTAACTCAAAAATTTCAAAAAAAATTTTGAATTTATAATGTTTCGTTTTCTCAAAAATCACGAAAATTTGGTTTTTTGTTCCAAAATAGTTCCAACCACTTCCGAACTAAACTTAACCGGTTTTATCTATTATAGTAGTGCAGTTACGATGTAACACACTAATTTAGCGCTTTTTTTCCGTTTCAAAAATTATCGATATCTCAAAAATTGCGATTTGTGTGGGAATCAAAATATCGCTATTTTGACCCTAAAAACCGGTCTAATTTCTGTGTTTTTCACTGAAAAACGGTATAGGAGTATTAATATAGGCTACATAAAAAATAATATTAGTAATACTATACCCCTCCGGGTTTGTTTAATATCCGAATTAAGGTGCTTAACTCGGATATTCGCAGTTCGGTGAAGGGTCACTACAGTGGACACCAAAAGGGATACAAAACTTGTTAACGATACCCAACAGTCAATTGTTGTTGTCGTTGAGCCCCTTCTTCTTGCTCCTTGTACTGCTTGCCGGATCAATCTTCTCCCAAGACCCCTCCGGATTGAGCGCAAATCAGTTGACCCTTCCGGATTGAGCGCAATTTATCATTAACGTGCTTAAATGCTCAAATAACCCTACAGTACAAGCTTCAAAAACGGGCCACAAAATTGATCGTAACGATCCTGACTGATATAAATGCCTGTAACAACAATATCTTTATCAACAACAAACGGGAGGGTCGGATCACATCTTGTCTGGGGGGATGATATCTACTGATTTTTTACTTTTTTTTTTTTTTTACTGTTTTTGGTCTTTTCGGTTATTTTTTTAATGTTTTTTTTTTGGGTACTATACTACTTTTTGTTTGGTTTTATCTATATCTTTAAATGTTTTTGGTCATGGACCACTCAGGAAATGACGGGACCGCGAATCCCCCCACCCTTCCTGGTTCGTGAATTTTCGGTCTTAACTAGGTTAAAAAGCTATTCACGATAATCCGGAAGGCTTCCGCGTTCCGAACTACCCTTCCGCCCCGGCGGTTTATGCCTATTAAGGGCGTTAATGTGAGCATCCGCTCGGCGCGGAGTGCTCGTTAACGGTTCTGCCGGTCATGATGTTAAAAAAGAATAACACCCAGGAGCGCCATAAAAACATGTATGTAACATTCGCCCGGAAGATACATATAGAGGGAGAACAAAACTAAGTCCTAAGACGACTGGCTAACGTCCAAACAGAGCTTTGCATGCTTTTCACCGTCTCTACCAAGCCAGTACTTACGGTGGTCTTTCCAACATCGGGTCGACAAAAAACGTTACTGCTTTCGGCCTCGGTCAAAACACTCAAATTAACTGAAATACATGCAGAAATAGTAAACCCATGGCTGGGTCTCAGTATCTCCAGACCACGAGGTCACTCCTAAAAACAGGGCTACTACCACTTATTGAATTATTAATGTTTTTGTTCAGTAGATAAAAATCATCATCTCCATCGAAGATGGATCAACCCTTTCACCCAACTCCTAGCTTCTCATTCTAGCAAAATGAATTCAGATGTTAGTTAAATTCAAATCAGGACATGACAGGGAAGCTAAAAGTTCATATAAGATGATAAAAGTTCCAGTCCCGAAACCCCTCCTGATTCTCGAATCCACTGAATCAAGCACGTTAAGCTTGATTTCTCTGTAACCCGGAAGGCTGGTTTCCATCCCTCACTGTTGTTAGCAACTGCCTTGCAACTATTGTAGCGACACAATAGTTGCAACTTGGAGCGGTTTCTGCTACTTCTGCTTTTCTCTGATTCCGATTCTCAATTTTCTCGTTGTTGTCGTCGTCGCAACTATCGTTGTTGTGTCCTTCTTCGACTTTTCTGCCAAAATGGCCGTTTCTGATGTTTCTCAGAAATATGACGTCATAATTCGAATTTTTAAAATTTTAAAATACCAGAACATTCTAGCCCTCACCGTTTTGCCAATCGTTCCAATAACGCTCTTATTCCCTCAAAATCGCCAATTCGGAAGGTTCACTGCTAAAATTTCGAATATGCTGAATCTGCATTTTGATCCATTATGGTCGACCTGAACGACCTTGTTCTTTTCAGTAAACTTCTGCAAAACCGTTATGATTTTAATATTTTTAATCATGTTTCTTTTTGTTACTCATTTCTTTTTATTACTCCCGAGCGGGTAATCGGTCCAGCGATACGACTGTGTTCGCGCTACCGAAAGACCACATGGGGAAGCTATTTTTATTGTACTGTGGAGAACGCAAACTATGTTTCAGGAAAGGGGATCAACCTGTTGCAGAATCCATCAACTGTGAAAAAACATCTAGAAACACTGTTATTCAACAAACTGACGGATTTTAATTTGAACTCTTCATGTTCCTTTTTTTAAAAGTGTAAATGCGCGACTTGTCGCGCTTACTGCTGTTTTTATTTTGTCATTGCCCATTATCAGGGAATGAAGTCTTTTAGTAGTAGTAGTATACTATTGCAACGACTATTCCTTAGAGTAATTAAAGTGTTTCTTCTTCTTCAAGTTTTTTTTCTCTAGTTTTTAATAGATTCTCTCAATTCGATTTTCGGACGCAAAGTAGAGTTTCTCTTCTGCGTCAAATTTCTGCTAAAATGAACTGAACATGGCTTTTTCAATCTCGATATATCTTTCAGAGCGCTATGTCGGGAAGTGATTTATTTGACGTGTTTAGCGCAGACGATACACCTGCTCCGAAGAAGCCGCGGAAGAGTTTGGACTCCCGTAAAAAATCAGGTGCTTCGAAATCCACTGGGACCGACACAGACAGTGGGTTCAAAGATGTGGATAACTTACTTCAAGATGACGATGGACTTTTTGATGTACAGAAAGACGAACAGTCCTTTGCAAAGACTAAAATTTCAATTGCAGAAGAAGAAATGGCACTGATAAAATTGATGCCGCAAATAGAAACGGCGAAGGTAGCCGATGTAAGAACCGGATGTGTTCATGAAATGTGCACCCCTAAAGGCGTTGCGGCTGAAGAGTTGCAATCTCTTTCTACGACACCAGCAAAACAGTATCCATTCAAACTCGATCCTTTCCAGGAAGAAGCGATCCGTTGTATTGAAAATAAGAGATCTGTTCTGGTGTCCGCTCATACATCAGCTGGTAAAACAGTGGTAGCTGAGTACGCAGTTGCGACATCGCTTCGAGATAAACAGCGTGTTATTTACACTACGCCTATCAAAGCGCTTAGTAACCAGAAGTTTAGAGAAATGACAGAAGAATTCACTGACGTTGGTTTGATGACTGGTGATGTAACCATTAACCCATCAGCTGGCTGCTTGATAATGACGACCGAAATTCTGCGAAGTATGTTGTACCGAGGATCTGAGGTCATGCGCGAAGTAGCTTGGGTGGTATTTGATGAAATTCACTACATGCGAGACAAGGAACGGGGTGTGGTTTGGGAGGAAACTATTATTTTGTTGCCTGATAATGTGCATTATGTTTTCTTGTCGGCGACAATTCCTAATGCCCGACAGTTTGCAGAGTGGGTTGCGCATTTGCATCAGCAATCGTGTCACGTGGTGTATACAGACTATCGACCAACGCCTTTGCAGCACTACATTTACCCGGCTGGAGCTGAGGGTTTGCATTTAGTTGTCAACGAAAAAGGTGAATTCCGTGAAGATAATTTCAATCTGGCAATGGAAAGTTTAAAGGGTTCGAGTGAATCAGGAGGAACTGGAGGAGGAAAGAAGAACAACTCTCAAGTCCAAAGCAACATTTTCAAAATAGTGAAAATGATTAACGAGCGAAACTTTCAACCTGTGATAGTGTTCAGTTTCAGTAAGAAAGAATGCGAGGCATATGCACTGCAGCAGCAAAAGCTTGATTTCAACACAGCAGAAGAAAAACAGCTAGTTGAAGAAGTGTTTAATAATGCGATCGACTGCCTCAGCGATGAAGATAAAAAGTTGCCTCAAGTAGAACAAATGTTACCGGTTCTCAAAAGAGGAATTGGCATCCATCACTCAGGCTTGCTGCCCATTTTGAAAGAGGCAATCGAAATTTTATTCGGAGAAGGTCTCGTTAAAGCTTTATTTGCTACAGAAACGTTTGCGATGGGGTTGAACATGCCTGCAAGAACCGTCGTTTTTACAAATGCTAGGAAATACGACGGAAAGAATTTCAGGTGGCTATCTTCGGGAGAGTATATCCAGATGTCTGGAAGAGCCGGACGTCGAGGAATCGATGAGCGTGGAATTGTGATTCTGATGGTCGATGAAAAACTCTCACCTGAAGTTGGGCGTAACTTGATCAAAGGCCAAGCGGACCCTTTGAACAGTGCTTTCCATTTGACTTACAATATGGTTCTTAATTTGCTCCGAGTAGAAGAGATCAACCCGGAATACATGTTAGAAAAATCCTTTTTCCAGTTCCAGCAGTCTTCTTCTGTTCCAACTACCATCGAAGCATTCAAAAAGCTTCAAGCTGAGCATGAGTCTTTAAAAATTCCAAACGAAGACAAAGCTCTTGTCTATTACAAAATCAGACAACAGTTGGAGAAATTGAGACGCGACTTGCACCAATATATGGTGACTCCTAAGTATGCTTTGCCTTTCATGCAGCCAGGAAGGCTTGCGAAAGTCAAGCACGAAGATGTTGACTATGGTTGGGGCGCGGTGGTGAATTTTCAGAAATCCACGAAAAGTAAAGCCGACGAAGCTCCTAAATATGTGGTAGAAGTGTTACTTAATGTTGATCCTACCCTTGAAGAGCCGCTTCCAGGAAAACCGAATATCCCTGGAAGATGCGAGCTGCAAGTAGCACCAGTCATGTTGAACACTCTAGATCAAATAAGCGCTATTAGACTACACCTACCCAAGGATCTCAGAAGCAAGCAGAGCCGTGAAGGCGTTGAAAAGTCTATTCAGGAGGTATGCAAAAGATTTCCTCAAGGATTCCCACAGTTGGATTTGTGTGCCGATATGGGTGTGAAAGATGCAACGGCAATTGATGTGATTAAACGTATTGAAACATTGGAACACAGAATGTTCAAGCACCCATTACACAATGACCCACAGTTGTCTATCCTTTTCGATCTGTGCGATAGATGTAACAAGTTGGAACAGAGAATGTTAGAGCTTAAAGGCGACCTGAAGTCGGCTAAAAATATTATCCAAATGGAGGAGCTCAAATGCCGTAAGAGAGTCTTGAGACGACTCGGATACGCGAGTGAGAATGACGTCATTGAAACGAAAGGAAGAGTGGCATGCGAAATAAGTTCAGGAGACGAATTAGTTCTGACGGAGTTGATGTTCAACGGAGTATTCAATGACCTGACTTCAGAACAAGCGGTAGCTTTGTTAAGCTGTTTTGCTTTTCAGGAGAAAGGAAGTGAAAATCCCAATTTAGACGAAGGACTAGCAAAACCGTTCAGAGTTCTACAAGAGACAGCGAGAAGGGTTGCAAAGGTCTCAGCGGACTGCAAAATTACGATAGGTGAGTTGGTAGTTAAGGACAGTGCTTGACCTCTTGTTCAGGGGGCGGATCTAGGATTTTCTCGAGGGGGGCGGACTTTCCAAAAATTTTCGAAAATTTTGTGGACCTTTTTTTATTTAGGTCGACCAAATTGATTTTCCGAGCTCTCCCAAATCACTAAAAAGACCCTGTTTTGGTCAAATCTTCTGCGCCGAAGGCAAAATTTTATTTTGAAAAACAGGCCAAAAAGGCGTTTTTAGGCAATTTTTGGAAAATGTTGACCAAAAAATCTCATTTTTGTGGCGCGTGCTTTCTCAAAATTAGTATATATTGATACCTCAAGGTAGGGGGTCAAATCCCTGAGGGGGAAGCTTCCCCCCCCCCCCCCTAAATCCGCCTCTGCTCTTATTGAAAAATTATATGGATTTTGTTTGCAAGATGATATTTCCAAAAAACGACCCTTAAAAGAGCTCTGACACCTTTTTTTGAAAAAAAAACATTGAAACAAAGACTTTTGTTCTATCTGGTTTCAAATCTCAGGCGTCTTTGGCAAGCCTATCTCCTGCTGCTATCTTAACTAAGGTGCTGTTGCCTTATCGGAGGAATAAAAAGCTTTGGAAAACGATCTCATAGAGGACGCAAAGACTCATCCATGGCATTATTCGTTAACTGTTGATCAGAATTTTTAAACTGTGTAGCTATATCGTATGTCGCAGGTTTAATGGTTACAATAAACAATTTTGTCTAATTTATGCTTTGGCCTAATGATTTCAAAATCTTCATTAGGCCTCAGCTTAAGTTAGACTAAATTGGAAAATAGTTAACCTGTGACATAAGATATAGCGAAAGAGCTTAAAAGTTTTTTTCGTCCTACATGACTTCTTGATGATCAGTATTCCGATCACTGAAGTGCCGAGAGAACCTAAATTACAACACTAATTGTAGTTAACTGGAGCCAATACTAATTTTTGTCTTTCTCTCTACACGCAGAAAAACACTATTTTTCAACAACAAAAAAATGTTTTTTTTTAATGTGGTCGGAACGCTATGTTTTCTTTTCACAGGAACCGGCTATCCTTGTTTTGAGATTTGAAAATTTATGATTGCCTTTGAATCATGAATCGGTATTTTTCGAGTTGCTGCTTAGTTTGATGCACGTGTGAAACATGTATGAAACAGCAGTAAAATGAACCTTATTTGATGGCTTTCGATTTCAGTAGCGTTAGCGCCTAATTTAATGAGTTGTTAAGCCTGTTTAACTCCAAAAAAGATTGAATTTAGATGAAGATGACTACGTGAGTTCATTCCGACCCAGCTTGATGGAAATATCCCATGCCTGGGCCAAGGGATCTCCCTTCAACGAAGTCTGCAAATTATCTGAGATATTCGAGGGTTCCATTATCAGAGGAATGCGACGTCTGGAGGAACTGATGAGAGAAATGACCAAGGCTGCGAAGGCAATCGGCAATGCAGATTTGGAACAGAAGTTCAACAAGGGAATCGAACAGATTAAAAGAGATATCGTGTTTGCGGCTTCGCTTTATCTGTGAACGAAATATTGGGACTTTTATCAAGTCTGCAAAATTGAAGCGATTCAAGACTTACGTTGGTTGATGTTGAATTGTTATGTTAAGGACTTCGATTTGTTTGAAATGTTTCTGAAGAGTTTGATTTCGAAATTCAATATTTGAAATCTTTTATTTCGTTTTGTGAATTACTCATTGTATGTCTAAGTGAATATCATTGCTATGACCAGCTTAAATTTCGTATGTATTGATCGAAACACGTTGATATTTTATCCTGAAGCAGGTAAACAGAAATGATATTTCAGCGGCTAGTAAATTTCTTGCGACTGAGCGCATTTTAGTTTTTGCATAATCAGACCATTCCACTAGGCGGCTCGCCCCGTCGATTGGGGAGTTTGTACTTTGATCGATAGATTTTTATAGAAAATTTGCTCGTTTATGACAATTCCGTGATTCTTTAATTTCACTCTGTCAAAATTGAGTTACCAATGTCAAGAAACAAAGACATTAAATGGTGTTATTTATGCAAGGAGTCTATAATTGGTGCAAGTATTTAGGAGTGTTAAATTTGATAGATCCAAATGGTGTTACACGCAGTTAAAATAACTTTAAATTTTACAAATTAATTTGATAAAAACTTTGGCCGATTCATTATGCTTGTCTTTTTTTCAGATTTACTGTTTTGACTGAGTGAATATCAAATCAGACTCCTATCCGTGTGTGATCGGGTTTATCTGTTCACGTTTCGGCCATGCCGGTAGCAGCTGAACGGATGGTGGCAGCTGGTCTGGTTCTTTTTCTCTCTCTTATCACCTTCAGAGATATAACCGGGGCCAATGAGTTCGGGGCGTCCAGTATGGACAAATCAGTGCCTATGAAGTCCTTCTCTGGACCAGCTATCAAATTTCTATACTGGTCAGTATTCATAGTTTTATATTACATTCTACCACGAGTAAAAACGTCCATTTTAAAATTCATGCCAAGAATTTTTTAATCTCGTCGGTTTACGATATTAATTATCAGCTGTCATTTTAATCAGACCAAAGTTGAAGGGAAGTGCTAAAAGTTATTAACTTTTTTTATATCTAAGCGGCCCAGCAGATAAACAAGAAATGTTAAATTGCTATTATATTTACGAAATGTTTCCTTCCATTTTCTGAAACTGTTATTTTTCTGGTTGTAAGACAAAAAACTTGCTCGTAAATGTGGATATTATGTTTAAGCTACGGATGAGGGTATCGAAAACTCTTCGAGGACTTCTCCAAGATGATTCAAAGTAATTTTCCTGAGATCGAGGTCCACGGAGAGAACTACCCTCCTCCTCCCATGCAAAACTACGCGGCGCTGGCTCTCGGGTACTTCAAGATCGCATTCATTCTCTGCGTGGTGTCAGGATACAACGTGTTCGAACTAGCAGGGTTGCCGACTCCACAAGCCATGGCTTGGGCCTGGGAAAATAAGGTATGTAAGATCATCTGAAAAAATGAGCTGTGCTCGTTGCTTGACGGTGGTGAGACAGCATTTCCCAGCACTGAAGAATCACCTTCAAATTGCATATATGGTCGCAAAAAACAATAGCCATTCGCCAAGGGTTTCCTTTTCAAATAGTGTAGTTCTTCTGTGCGTGGTGTGATGAGTCAGTTATACAAACGAGTAGATAAATAGTGAATTAGGTATAATCGAAATTGGTTGTCTTCAAAGAATGTTTTCTTATTTTTTGGACAATAGTTACACTTGCGAGAGCAAGTGTCTTGTAATCTGTAACTAGTAATTTTTCCCGTAAACAAATTTTCTTACATTCTTTTTATTTTTCACTCCTCTTCTCTTTTATTTTAACATCTCAGCCCTTTTTCTCTTCTTTTCATGTTTCATTCCTTCCCATGTGGCCCAACGGTAACGTCGTAGCTTTTGCACGGTATGGTCTGTGGTTCTAGACTCGGCCAGACTTGGTTTTTTCTTCAGTATGTATGCAATTGTCGGACTTTCGTTTGTCTCCTCAAATTTTGTCGGCATAGTTGCCACATCAGGGATTTTGCTTGTGCTGTAAGAAATTTTCATTGCATTTGTGAGTGCAAGTATTGTTCATTCTACTTTGGAGGTCTTGAATGATCAAACTATTTACTATAAAATGTTTTTTTTTTCATTTTAACTGTCTGCTCAACGATTGTCGGCTTTGTTTCCTCTTCGTAAGTTCTTTTCTGTTGTTAATTTAATATTTAACTATCTGGCATGTTTGCCAAGAGTGAACATCTACTGAGACTTATGCAAGTTTAAATTTTGGTAGACCTAGTTTTTTCATTTTTTTTCGACTTTTGTTTTTTATGTTTATGCTCTGCTTCGCTTGTTTAAATTTTCTGCTTCGTTTAAATTTTCTGCTTCGCTTGTTGAAAATTATTATTGCCAAGGAAGTGTGAAATGAAGCTTATAAATTTTTCAAAATGGTTTTTGTCGGACTCTGCAACAAATTTTTGATTTTTTTTAGATTTCGTTCTAATCACCGCTGAAAGGACTTAAATATGATATATCACTCGACCCGTTCCGATTACTTATTGTGGTACCTGATTTGGCGAGAAAGATAAAAAACTAAAATACACCCGAATACAAAGTTTCCCCATTTTCAATGGTCGGAACCATAAGGTATAATTGCTTACAGCCTGATGCAAGACAAATTTCAATATAAAAGAAGGATAGCCTGTTGCTGTGCAAAGTAGCACAGAACGTTGCGACCACATTCATAAAAACTACAAATTAGGTTATACTTCAAGTTCGAGTTGTTTCTTGTTGACGAAAGCGTAGAAAGTAAATTAGACATTATCGACAACAGATCTTCAAAAACGAGTAACTTTTTCTATTTTTTTCTCAATAAGTTTCTAGAAAGCTTTTTTGCCAAGGAAGTGCTAAATGAAGCTTCCAAAGCTAGTTTTCTTTCGTTTACTAAAACCAAATTTTTCTTGGCGTAAATGATCAATTTTCTTATCAAGAACGTTCGGAACTCGACTTGGTCGAACTTAGACTCGATTGACTCGCTCGAAAAGGACGGAAAAAAAATTATGAAACCGGTTTTTGATGTCTTTCGAATCTATAGAAAACTTAGAAAACTATCGATTGCTCTAATCGCCCGAAAAAAGATAAAAACTCAAATTTTTTAAACCGGTTTTGTGATATATCGTTTTGTCGCGTTGCCTGATTTTGTGTGAAAAGCCAACAAAAATGACTAAAATACATTCGAATTTAAAAGTTCCTTCCTTTTTCATTGGTCGAAACACTAAAGTTGAATAAATTGAGAACTGCTTGGCAGAAAAAATCTTGGATTTATTAATTCGTTTTCAGGTATCTCTGAGCGCTAATTTTTATCATATTTTTACACATTGGAAATTAAGCCGTAAAAAGTTAATTTATTTCTAGTAAAATACGTTAGTTTAGAGGCTTCCTCAGAAAAAAAAATTAAAAACAATCAAAATTTTTTGCAAAAAATTTGGAACTTGCAAGTTTTTTTAATAATTGTATTGATTTTTCAATAAAACTTATAAAAGTTTAGTTTATCATCGAATATAATTAAATTCTGGGCTATTGTTCAGCTTTTCTCATCCACACACTGAATAAAAAACACCATCAGAAAAAAAACAGTTTTTTTTAAATAGTTTTTTTTCGATTGTGGTCAGAACCTTCTGTGCTACTTGCACAGCAAAGGGGTATCCTTGTTTTTGTTGTTTTATTCGAAAACATCCTGTTTTGTATTCAAAGTAAGCTTATTATTTTTTGCTTGTTTTCCAGTTTTTTTCAAAGGTTTTTGGTGCTCCTCTCCCGAAACGTTCTAATTACAGTGTCATTATTATATAATGAACCATGTATTTTTAAAATTTTGCAGTTATTTTATTGATTAAGTTTTTATATAGTATGTGTATTTGTGTTCCTACCTGTGAAAATCAGGAGGAAGTTTGAATTCGGGTGCGTTTTAGCGTTTTTGTTTTCCACGCAAAATCAGGTACCTCAAATAAAAATTGTCCCAGAGACAAGAAAAACCGGAGTTTTTCTAGTCATTTTAAAGAAAACGGCCGACCAAAATGCTTATTTCACTATTATTTTTGAAGATGCTTAAATTTTAGGCTTTCGTTCAGATCCATCATCAAACCTCGCACAAAAAAAACAAATAATTTAAAAAAGAACTTTTTTAAAGAATTTGTTTCGCAACATACTGTGTTAGCTACTTGCACAGCAATTGGCTATCTTTGCTGAAATTTGCTGTTATATTGTTTATAAAAGTTAAAAGCAAAAGTGGACCAAGAATTCGTAATCAGTTATTTTGGCTTTTTTTTTCAATGTGTGCAATTTTGTCTAAGGTGTTACTTCTCGAGAAAAATTAACTACATACGATTTGCTCATCTTAACAAGAAATGTTATTGAAGACAAATATTTTTTTCGTTGTCTTGCTTCTAGCATATTTTGTACGGTTATTTTAGTTGTATGCCTCGATGATGATATTCTTCATCTCAAACGCTATCGAGGGACAGCTCATCGCTACCGGAGCATTCGAAATTCAATTCAACGGTGAGCTCATATCTTCAAAAAATAACTGGTAAAAAATATTTCTTCTTGGTTCTTTAACTGTTAAAAAATTAATATGCTTAATTCTCGATATTGGCAGTGAGCTTTTCAAGTTTTAATGTCACTATTCCGTATGTATTAGGAGTGGAAGTATGGTCCAAATTGCGCTCTGGGCGTCCCCCCTCGGCAAACGAGTTGTTCGAGATCCTAAACAGTCAATCCTCTTCTGCCTCGACATCCTTCTCAAAAGCACCCCCAAGAAGCGCCTCTGCCTAAACCCAACCCCCCCCCCCCCCCAATAGCCGCCTCTACTCACTTATGTTATGATGCCAACAACAGCAACCAAATGAACATCACCTCCTGAAGCGCTTTATGAGGAACACGCAGTTTTATATGTAGACTAGACCAGTCATGTGATTGAACATGATTTCTTACTCTTCTCTGACGACGCTTCTCGTCGACCCGCCATCAAGGTAATTTTTTTTTATCAACAAAAATTTCAATTAAAAATAATCCTGATTAATTTAATATACATTTGGTCAAAAATCAATAACATACAAGCTTCAAAAATCAATTATTCAGCTTTCTTGTTCCTTGACAGTTTTCTACTAATTGTCTGTTGGCTATGCTTTGTTGAGTTAAATATTTTTTCCAGCTCTGGACTGTCTGTTGCTAACCAGGCTTCGGTAGACCAATGACGCAGACCAACAAAACGATTTCTTCACATCGCTGTGGTCAGCCGACAATACTTACCGATCTCTGACCAGTGACTGTACACTTAGAACAAAGATGGCGTTTAATTATGTTTGAAGCAGAAACTGCTGTTTGCGCATGTCAATTTTTGATTTCTTTTCAAGTATTTGCATTTTAAAGTCAAATTATAAGCTATGTTCTCAAAAATATATCAGTTAAGTAAATTTATATTCCTTTCTTCAAAATATCTTCAATCAGAAGTTTCTGAGGACTAGGATCTGAATAAGATTCATTGTTGGGCTGTTAATGTTGACATTTTTCATGATTAATGCACTTTCGTTTTGCAGAACTGTCGCAGGTTTAATTACTTTCTACCAGAAACAGCTCATTGAACCGAATATTTTCTAATTACAAAAACGGAGCTTGTTAAACACGTTGACACAACTTTTATCCCATGTGAAATTTCTTATTTCTGTTTTTTTTTAATTACCCCCCGGTCTTACTCAATGCAGAACTAACCGTGGGAGAGGGGGATGTCATCCATTTCGCCGCAGCTTGAGGAAGTGGATGACACTGGGACACCTCCAGTCATGGCCGAAGTGGGATTCGAACCCGGCCACTTGGCAACGGCTGCTCTTTGCACTTTATTTCTGTGTTCAGTTTCTTTACCCTTGCGATAAGCAAGGGTATTGAAATCAGGTACTATAATTTTTTCCCGGAAATAACTTAAGGGACAGAATGGTGAACTTTGTAGGAGTGATAAATTTCAGAAATGCTCAATTTCTTGAAAATTCTAATAAAAATCTCTTCATTTAGGTAGTAAATAGGTGTAGTCCATTTCCTGTGTTCCGGTGTAGTCCATTTCCAGTTTTTGAAAAAATGTTTATTATTTCGGATTTCTGCTGTTTTTCGTCCTGGTTTCCGTCAGTTCATTTCCCGTTTTTCTAAATGAAATTTAATTAATTTGGTTCTGTTTTTTTTCGGCTTTTTTTGCTTAGCATAGATTTTATTTTGATCTTGATTTTTTACGCTTGTTTAAAAATTGTAACTTGTCATTTTACCAAGTCTGATTTTCAATAATTTTGTTTTTATATATATTATTTATATTAATACTGTTTAGCAATTGGTAGGAAACTGTTTTGCATTTGTGTCAAATTTTAATTATTTATTTTCAGGAATGGTTAGTTTGAAAGTTTGATACTATTGAAGCGAACTCAAAAGTATTTATATTCCAAAGATTGCGTTTATGCATCTTGGTGATTGATTATTTTATGCATCTTGGTAATTGATTATTTTCAACAGATGTGTGAAAGTCTAATAATACGTAATTTTGCTTTGAAATTTCTTGCGGAGTTTTATTTCCCCCAGTTCTTGTCGGCTTTAAATTATTGTAAGTAAGTCAAATAAAAACACAACTTCCTACATAACATTATGTAGATTTTTGTTTGTAGGTTGCCAATTTCCTAGCTGGTTTGACCGAAAGAACTGAGTTTTTTTGTTTACACACAATGATCGACCATACGCAGGACATGGCCTATATTTTTAAAACAAAATTATCAAATATGCGGAGAAAAATGCGAAAAAGCCAATATATTGTAAGTCAGTGAGTTCTACATTTTCCTAGCTGTTAATTTTCATTTCATGGTTAGAATTTTGCATTTCTTTTGTTTTTTTAAATTATTTGCATTTCAATTAAAGAGCCTCAAAATTGACATTACTGACACTTTCTGTGGCACTGAAATAAAGTTAATGGTATAATTTCTAATCGGTAGGCTTTTTTGATAAGTATTGAAGCGTTCTTGGCAGTGCTTCCTTATTGACCAAACGTGTCAAGTACCCAGAATGAGTTTTCTTTGAATAAAATTAAAAGCTAAAATAAAATAGTTGGCACTCAGAGTGATTTTTTTTCACAAACATGTAAATTCAAAATAACCGCTTGGTTAAACATACATGCTGCTACGAAATGGAATTATAATAATAAGTTAAAAATCAAGAACTACACCGGCATGTAAATATACAAATGCAACTTGTTTAAATAAAAATGAATAAAACAATACTAGTATTAGATATAAAAATAATCTCGAAAAGAACTAATGGATCTGTCAATAGGAACTTTCGTGTATTTCTGTTTAAAACTTTTGAGTTCAAATTAAAATTTTTGTTTAACCCTAGCTTTTCTCAGCTTTACTTTAACTTTTTCCATTTATTGCAACTATTGTTTTCTGCAGATTTCTTTCCCCAATTTATTTTTAGGAATCTATTTTGTTTTATTTGTTTTGTGCGTTTGTTTAGTTTCAAAGGTACTCTGTTATAGATAAACTGCCTACCAATTTCTTGTTTTTAATTATTTTTCACCATATTGAACATTCTAGTCAAGCTATGCTGGGTAATGAAAAGTTCGGCTGGCAAAACCTTAGACTTGAGAAGTAGATCTCATGCCTGATCATATTTTCTGCGGAATTAAAACTCATTGATTCCTCAATTACTTTGTCTGTTTATTCTGGTAATTTTGGACATGAGTAGATTTTGAAAAAATGCTGTGCTGAAAGATGAATGCGACAAAACTAATGATCTGAAAAGCATAACTCTTGTTTCTAATGGTACCATGTGTCGAACACAGTGCTTTGACTAAATTGCAATTGCAACTTTCCTTAGACATTTATTCAATTTTTCCACTAAAACTCTAAAAAACCTGGCATTCGTTTGCGTGTTTTGTTTTTTCTCTATAAATAATTTTTTCTAAACTATTCTCTTCCCCAAAGACTAAGTTCCGTTTAATGAACATTAAGTTTGTTTTCATTCAATTATTCATTTACTTTTCTAGTTTTTTGAGCATTGATTGAGTTTCTGTAAGTAAGATGATTGTATCATCTGCAAAATGCACTAAATTCATGTTCCTGTTGATTTGGTTCTTAAAATCATTTACATAAACAATGAAAACTAATGGTCACAAAACAGAACCTTGTGGAACGGCATGATTAAGTGCTATCCAGTCACAATAATGATTTTGAAATTTTACACATTGTTGACAGTCTCTTAAAAAATCGTGAAGCAGATTTGATGTCTTTCTGGAAAAACCATACGTTTCATTTTTCCGATAGCAAGTTAATCTTGTTGAAGGCAAAAAGCTTGTATTCCCATTGGCCCCGGCGAATTATTCAGCGGTAATTTATCTATATCTTCGTAATTTTTTTCTTGTGACGCATCGAAAATCAAAAACTGCGTTTGTAATTTGGGTTTCGGTGTATATGTTCACCATTAAAAATACCCATATTTTGAAAAAACATGATGCAAATGATTTGCTATTTCAGTAACATCTTTTGTTTTTTTTTGCCATTTTCCAGATCTATTTTGCTAATAGCTACTGACTTTTGATTACTATTTTTCCCTATTTTGTTGTTCATGAAATCCCATTGTTATTTACAATTGGAGAGCTGCCGAAAATTTTACATGATATTTTTGTGAAGTATTTGCCAATTTTCGATTGACCAAGTTTCTAACCTTTTTGTTTTTTCTCTGCGCTACCTCATAGCCAGTGTTTTTCCATATTTTGAAATACCTATAATAATTGTTTGTAAGAGTCATCAAGGATCAATGAATTCATGGTTTTTTGTTTTTGGTTACCAGTTTTTGATTTAAATATTTTTTGTGCGATATGGAACATTCGCACTTATAACCTTTCAACAAAAAGCCCCAAAGATCAAGCATTTCCGGTCCCGAGGATTTTTCATATATTTTTGACCAATCATAAAGTTCGCGGTCTAAGTTGACTTTTCCCCGATCAAAATTATGGAAATTTCTTGTCTCAATTTCAACGATGTCATTTTTTGGCTTGCAAGAAATTAATGTTTCATATGTAAGCGTTTAGTGGTCTGTGTTGAATGGCAATTCGTACGAAGTAACATAATTTATTTGGTTGTTGGAAACTAAGTAATGGTAGATAAGTGAGATATTTTTATCGGTCACAAGTGATGGTTTAGTGGTTTGGTATATTTAAACCTCAATTTGCAGCAAAGTTTTTATGACTCGTGTTGTTTTAGAAGATCTATATTGTAGTCCTTAAATACAAAAACTTCCATTTTTGAAGCAAACACTCTAGAAATTTCACCACCTAATTTATCAAAAAGTACGGAGAAAGGTTTTTCTTGAGCAATAAGAAACATTAATTGCAAGTTTTTGCATGCATGATGACTCAATTTCAACCCATAATGACTCAAAAAACTCTGTCAGCAGTCATGAGATATTTACGAATAGGCATTTTCAATGCTAAAAGAGTCCAAATTCCAACAACTCCCCCTTTCTTAGACCTGTCCTTTCTGAGCGTGGAAGATGAACAAAATTATGCCCCGAGCTTAAAAAAGTATTTCCTACTGTTTTGTTATTGAGCCTTATTTCTGTTGCTACAACTATAGTATTCATCAAAATTTCACCTAAAAAATCGACAATTTTTTGATAATTGTTTTGCACGCTTCTGAAATTTATCAAGGAAAGTTTGACTGTGTTAAGTTGACTTTCAGTGTCAAAAAAATTTTCATAAGATAATAGTTCTTGCAGGTCTTGAAAGTGACCAGGATTTCCCCCAATGTCTCCTAAGAGGACTAATATGAGTCTTTTTACGATACGTAAAAATTTCTTATTTCTGTTTTTTTTAATTACCCCCCGGTCTTACTCAATGCAGAACTAACCGTGGGAGAGGGGGATGTCATCCATTTCGCCGCAGCTTGAGGAAGTGGATGGCACTGGGACACCTCCAGTCATGGCCGAAGTGGGATTCGAACCCGGCCACTTGGCAACGGCTGCTCTTTGCACTTTATTTCTGTGTTCAGTTTCTTTACCCTTGCGATAAGCAAGGGTATTGAAATCAGGTACTATAATTTTTTCCCGGAAATAACTTAAGGGACAGAATGGTGAACTTTGTAGGAGTGATAAATTTCAGAAATGCTCAATTTCTTGAAAATTCTAATAAAAATCTCTTCATTTAGGTAGTAAATAGGTGTAGTCCATTTCCTGTGTTCCGGTGTAGTCCATTTCCAGTTTTTGAAAAAATGTTTATTATTTCGGATTTCTGCTGTTTTTCGTCCTGGTTTCCGTCAGTTCATTTCCCGTTTTTCTAAATGAAATTTAATTAATTTGGTTCTGTTTTTTTTCGGCTTTTTTTGCTTAGCATAGATTTTATTTTGATCTTGATTTTTTACGCTTGTTTAAAAATTGTAACTTGTCATTTTACCAAGTCTGATTTTCAATA